AAAAAAAAAAAAAAAAAAAAGTCAAATAAATGGTTGGTAGTCAACTATATAAAAGGTCAGTCAATGTTACAGATGTTAGAAAATCAAATGAATCGACAAGATGATAAAGGTTGGTAATAAAAAATGCATGTTCAGTACGTGACCAATTTTTCGTGACAAAATCTTGTTGACTGGGTATTTTAATTTTAAGTGGTATACGATGCATTTTAACAATGAAAACAATCGCTTTAATCTCAGGAATATTCATATCGAATAATCGAGAATCATAATCGAAAAGTGAAAGGGTATTTGATGAATTCATCTGAATTGATTGGATTCAAAAGCAAATTTGGTTTTGGGGATTGAAGATCTTCCAAAAGACCGTGAATTGTATGTCTCGTATTGTGACGTAATGAAGAATAAAAACTTATGGAAAGAGTGGGGATAGACAAACGATTTCTTCTTATTATCTTAATGAAATATTTCAAAGGGCCCCTTTGTATTACCGCGGCTTTTTGGGGACTCCACCCATTAAAAATTTTGATCCAAAATATTTTTAATTAGGTCACTTAAGTTTAATATTGTTATTTGTTACATCATTAAATTATAATATTATCGAGTGTCCACACTTAATCATTCCACAATTTCAATTAAATTCATTAGTCCCATATCTGAACAATAATTTGGCATCTTAATTTGGCTAAACAATATAATGACTCACTGTATCAGTTACACATATTTAATCTCAAATAGATCTAACAATCACTCCACTAGATCAAATACTTGTCCTGACAATACAACATACATTATAAGCTCGAAATATGACCATTATTACACAGTTTGAACAATCTGGTCCATTAATCGAAAAAATATAAGACTAAGGTCGTTTTCGTCACATAAATATAGCTAAACTATCATCACTATGACTAAATGATATAGATCAAACTGTGAAACATGTGACATGAGAATTACACTAGTGTGATCATTACATGTCAATTCTCAGTTGGGATCTTCTATGGTCAGGTACCCCTCGTACATGTATAACAACAGGTACCCCCCTTATTGACCATTAGATTGATTCAAAATTTAATATCAACCACATATTCAATGTACGAGGCAAAAAAGAATTTGTCTCGTACATGTATTCCCTCGTACATGCCTCGTACACCTCGTACATGTTTAAAAAACCTATTATACCCTTACTTTAATTTTAATCTTAAATTTAATGTAATTAATTATAAAATGTAAATTATATTTACTTTCAAGGACATTTATTTATCTTATTTGTCTAACAATCCTACAGATACAAAAATTTATGTTGATATCCTCAAAGTTCAGTATTATTTCGTATCATCTATCAACGATTTGAAAAAAAAAAATCAATCTCTCACTTCGACTGGATGTTTGTTCTTATTGTTCTTCAA